ATACTTTAAATTTATAATGTAAATTGTTTTATCACATATAAGTAATGGGCTAAGTCAAAATGTGTGGGTTTCTTCTTCGATTTTTCGGTCGGTTATTTTATTTTTGGCCCAAAACCGATAACCGACCGAAAAAACGAAATGACCGAATTTTTTTTTTTTAAGGTAATAACCGATAATCGACCGAAAACCGAAATTTTCGGTCGGTTCGGTTATCGGTCATCGATTTTTCGGTCGGTCTTCATTTTTTGCTCACCCCTAGTCTTGGGATATTTAAGAGAGGTACGGAAGGATAACTGAAAATCGATAGTGGTCTCACGAGGTGGAACTGAGGTCTTGCACCTTTTTTTCGCAAATGACCTTATGTTATTTGCTGAGGCTTCGGAAGTGCAAGGTCGCACTATTATAGACTGCTTGGGTAAGTTCGCTAAAAAATCTAGTCTTAATATTTAATGTTTCCAAATCTAACATTTTTTGCTACCCTAATACTAGCTCTGGAATTAAAAGAAATATGAGAAGACTGACAGGCATTCCCATCACTGATAATTTGGGGAATTATCTTGGGGTTCCTATCTTGCATCAATGTGTTTCCAGGAAAACATTTGGTTACATTCTTGAGGGGATGAAACGGAAACTAGCGAACTGGATGGAGGTCTGTAAACCGAAAAAAAAAAAAAAATACAAACATAATTTATAAATTTTATAAAACTTCTTTATCCATATTATTACAACACTTGTTATCGAATTGCTTTCTTCCTTGTCTCCCTCACATATCAAAATTTTCGAAATCCTTACAATTGATAGCACTTGAAATTGCAACATATGGTTGTGTGTGGCTAAAAACCAGCTTCCTTAAGGATAGATGAGCGTAAGAAAGTAATTAACCTTAAGTTTTGTTAATTATCATGGAAAAAGAGAATCAAATGAATTAAAATGGTCTTCTTTAAAATTGAAAGGAAATATGTTATCTGGCGGAGTCAATGATTCTTAAAATCAACACCTTATGTCTTACATAGTTACATTATTACTTCCAAAAAGAAATTTTACTTTCAATACATAATTGTCAAGTTCAATAACGACGACCATTTTAGTGTCATTGCACAAACTTAGTGAATGATCAATATTTTTAAACAACATAATTAGAGATCTAACTAGTTGCGGTATAACGTGAAGTGGGTGAGTAAGGGGGATTTTGTCATCCTCATCAAGGAATGGGTCTTATGACATGCAATTGAGAAACCTACTTCTAGACAAAAAGGGTATGAAGCTATTTGAAAGCTAATTAGCAAAATAGATATTCAAAGAGGATGATCAAAGATTGAACTATAACAACTTAAAGCAATAATTAAACGAGATGGAAATCGATTGGACAAAGAAGGACCCGGGTGCATGAGGCAGCATGATATTCTAGATGCCAATTACCTAAGAGATTGAGGGTGAAAAATACCAAAATTGGAGATTCAAAAGAATGCACTCAAGAATCCAAGTTCATAAGCCACTTTCGTGGTCAAACAAACTCGAATTGAGACTAAGAATTGTCCCACTTTTGTGATGCATCAATTACTAATTCAACATGAACGTAACAATCAAGATTTCAATTCTCCCTAACTCCCTTATTTTCATAGAGGGAGTAAAGGGTTGCATGGATAGGCTTGGGAATCCAATCCAACTCTTATTGCAATTATGTTGTGGGCGCAAGAATTAACAATTAGTTGTTAGAATATTTTAAAATTAGTTTTATTAATTAATTAGGATGGTTATCTCAAAATTATTTTAGATTTAATTTGTTAGTATTATATTATTATTAATGTTTATCTTAGTTTGTTAGTTGGGATTAGTTTATCTTTTTCTTAATAATTATCTCATTCATGTGGTTGTAATTCGCTTGTTAATGGCTATTTAAGGACATTGCATGCCAAATGAAATTCAGTGCTGAGAATTTTTGAGTTAGAAAACTTAGTGTTTTCTGGAACTCAAGATGAGTTCGGCCGTGAGTTGTCATGACAAACTTGACTTATTAAGTGTGGAACCTCACTTGTGGCGTCATGTTTATCCTACATTACCTTATAACCCGGTGTGGTTGAGGACTTATCAAAATTCAAAAATTAGCTCTTTTCGTTCTCAACCCAAGCTAAACCCTCATATCCGATTTCACCTAGCCTAATAAATCCATTTTAAAATATTCTTTAAATTAGAGTGCAAAGAGAAGATCAGGCCAACCAGATTCACATCAAATTAAATTCCCAAGAATGTTGTGCACCACATAAAAAGAATATGAAGAACTCCAAGAACATTTGGAACCCTAAATTGGAATTCCACCCCTTTATGCAATAATCATAAACATGGCATTTAGAAGCTCAAGCTACCATCAACCCGGCCAAGTCCGATCCTAAGGAAAACTAATCACACATATTTAAAGTAAAGAAAGCAAAAACATGAGTAATAGACAACATCATAAAAGCAAAAGAGAAGAATAATGTAAACCGAATAAGTCGATAAAACAAAGTATATATATATATATATATATATATATATATATATATATATATATAGATATATATATAGATAGAGGATCATATGAGGTCATGTTCCCACATGAGGTATGTGGTCAGAATCTGGCCTTTGATTGTGGTTTGATCTATGGTTGTTGTTTTTTTAAATATTTATTTTGTCATTTTTTTTTTCTTTTGCCGCGTGAGTGTTTAAGGGCTTTACTGTCTTTGTTGTTTCATTCCTATTTATTGGTATTGTTTGTCGGCTGAGTTGCTCATTTTTAGGAGTATTATACATGGTAAATTAAGATTTTGGTCTTTTTTATTCTGATGCAGCGTTCCATCGTATACACTTTCTAGTTTTTGTGGTTTTTGTTTGCATCGTTCCATAGTTTGCATCATCCTTATTCATTTTTCTCGACATTCTTTGTGCGAAGGGTTATGGATTCTCCAGGTTGGTATTTTCGTTTGTTTTTATTATATATTTACTGAGCATCTGTTGGTACTTGGTTTGTGTATAAGTATGTGTTCATGGGTATGACATGCGTTGCAGGTGTTTTGTTTTGATTTTGTTTATGGAGTTTTTTTTTTTTTTGAACAACTTGTTTATGGAGTTTGAAGTTGTCTATGTGTATGACATGCGTTGCAGGTGTTTTGTTTTGATGTTGTTTATGGAGTTTTAATTTGTATATTTTAATTGTGGTTCTTGTATTTGTGATTTTCGTTTTTTAATAAGTTCCATTGGCATATGTTTTTCGTTTATAAATTGTTTTGCTAATTTATGCGTTTCGTTGTTGGTTTGGCAACATGGCTTGTGTGTGATGGGTTTTTGTGTGCTGTTATGTTAATCTGTTGGTAGTTTTGTCAATTTCTTTCTACATGTTCTTTGCATTTTATATTGTATTTGAAGGTTTCTGCTTTGGTGGGGGGTGGGGGGTGGGGATGGGGGGTGGGGATGTGCATGTTCCGTAATTTGATATGTGCAATCAGGCTTTTTTTTGGGAATGTTGTGCATCTCGGTTTTAATTGTCTGTGTGTATTTCTGTTTGATGTTTGTGCAGTACGTTCGGAATCACTGCAAGGGTGTGTGATGGACGTGTCCCCCGATGGAACTAAGTTTTAGACGCCGTCGTGTGATGAGGCGGTTGGGCCCTTTGAGGGGTGGGTGTTCAGCGTGGGGGCGATTTGGAGGTAGATGTCGCTATTGGTGAAGCTTGGGCAGAATTCTTTTCGTGCGTGACCATGGCTTCACATAGTGTTGATCATGTTACGAAGTTGACTACAACTTTGAAAGATTTCAATGCTTTTTTATTGGCTGAGAATGGTCCTATCGATCGTTCTTCTTCTTCTAAGAAGCAACTATTTGAGTCGTTTTGTGGTGCTTCGCCCGATGGTCAAGTAGATGTTCGTCCTCCTCCAATCTCTAATAACAAGGGTGGTGGCAAACGTTACAAAAGTACAAGGGAATTAGCTATTGAAAAGTCGGGCCGTCATCAACGTCAATGCCAAACTTGTGAAAAGTATGGCCATAATAGTCGTACCTGCCCGATGCGCAACGTTGACGGATGAGGAAGGGGGTCGTATTGCTCTTTGGATTTAATTTAAACTTAAACACATTGTTATGTTTTTTACTTCCCCACCGACTTGTTCTTATTCCGCATTTGTTGTTTGTTTTCAATAATGGATTTGTTTTGTTTTGTTTTTTGGTTTTGTTTTTCTGTTTTTGTGGAACTGTTTTATATTCTGCGTTTTTAACATAACATGGTCATGGTATTATTTATTCTTTTTACCCCTATTATGCAACCACCTCCCACTTGCACAGTATAGTGTTGCGGCGTTGCTCATGGTGCCTGGAATTTTGTGCGAGTTTGCACGTATGCTCCCTTCAATGTTGCACAACAAATCAACTGCCATTTCGGCTAAGGGGTGTCATGCAAACATGCATTTTCGTAACACTTCAATGTTAGGTTGGTTTATTACCGGCGCACCGACAACCCCTACTGTGGTGCCTTTTCTATTTCTGTGTGGGTGCGCATCATCATAACGTGTCGTAATCTATTTAGCGGACTACTGGTTATTTTTTTTTATTTTTACATAAGGTGATATTATTTTATTCGTTTTCCCCCTGTTATGCAACCACCTCATACTTGCACATTAAAATTTTGTGTCGTTGCACATGGTTCCTGGTATTTTGTGCAAGGTTGCACGTATGGTTACTTCAATGTTGCACAACATTTCCACTGTCCTAAATATGATTATACGCCTTTGTGTGTTTTTTATTTTGACTCTCCTATGTGTTAACATCCCCCTAATGCACAGATTAGGTTAGGGTACCGTGATGCATTTTATATTTCTGTGTGGGTGCACACCACCATAACGTGTCATAATCGATTTGGCGGGCTACGGGTTATTTTTTTTTTAACATTTAATATTGCATTAATACAGTCACTGGCGATGCACTTAATCATTCATCCAGATATACCGTATTTGCACAATGTTGTACTCCACTGATACATAAATTCATCAAGGGTTATGCATTTACAGCTGATGCACATAGTGGTTCATCTTTTACGTCTCAGTCTATTAACTATAAACCATGCTTATGCATTTCGCACAAGTGTACCAAAAACAAATTGTCCCTCGTAATAAACTTTTTTCAACTTCTAAACATTTGATTGTTGTCCTTAGTCATGTCTTTTAAAGTAGTCAAAAAATAAATGCCCAAACACACATCTTACTGCTTAACGGAATTGCGTGAACACACCCTGGCCGAACAGTGGTGAGCTTTGAAAGTTTTTGCTGTGTTGCTCATTACATTCGCTGAGTAGGATATCCTTCATGTACTTCGCTCGTAATGTTTCTATTGTGGTCTTGTCTCCCTTGGTCAACCCGCATTCCCAATTCCTCGCTTTCTCCCCAATGAAGCATTCCATGTGCTTCATTGTATATACTCCACTGTCTGGGTTTTCTGTTGCATCCCTCCAAGGCATTTGCATTCTCTTTGGTTCCATTTCTAGTATTTCAGCCGCCCTTTTATGGTCCTTATTATCGTCTAGGAAGCACCCGAACTGAAAAAAAAAACCATCAAAAACATGCAGAATAACATCACACATTCCTCTAATTATCTAATTCTCAAGACTGGATCAGTTTTGTACCCCCCCCCCCCCCCCCTCCTCCAACACAGTAACAAAAACAGGCTCAATAATATGCATACCAAACATAAACAAGGTCATTTCATTTGTGCATTATAGCATACCAACAGGGGTGCTTCTTCATCACGGGAAACGCAACACCCATGGTTTTCCACTGTTGCTACTGTTTATTTAAAAAAAAAAAAAAAAGCCACGGCTTGTTTACAGGGGTGATTCAGATTCAACCAAAAACACCATACTATGTCTGTGCGTACAGAGCTTCTCCCCGTAACCAACCCACTACTAACCCCCTATTTATTTAAACTTGTCCCCAACCTCGCCGGTAATTCGTATTCCGGCCGAATCGCCGCCATTAACGACCACACGCACCCTCTTTTTTTTCCCCCAAATCAAAGTCACCAGTTTTCAGTTCTTTGACCCAACATCAACTTCCACATACATGCAATAGCATTGTGCACTGAATCGCTCATAAAAAATCAGAGTGATTATTAAAAAAAAAAAAAAAAAAAAAAAACCGAACCCGTACGCAGTCTACTCGTTGCATCGATCGACGCACGCTGGGTACTCCGTCTGGGTGTTCCGTCCGCCATTGTTTCCGGGGTTGAAGCCGCTGGTCGAAGTTATGCGTTGTTGCCGTCGTTTCATCTACTCCAACTCACTCCACTGTGCAAAGCCGACATCTTCCGTACTCGTAGCCCGTTTAAAACCCTACGCTACGCGTTCAGACCCGTAAACAAAGGGCTTTCCTTCCTAGTCTTTTTTAATTAAGACTCCAATTACTTTTTTACCCCCAAATTAATTACTCCATATGTTATTACGCTGGTTTAGGGGCGTTTGATCTTCATCCAAGCATCACGTTTGAGCCGTTAGATCATCCCATCTGATGGTTGAATTTTATCCTCACACCTCACCTAACACATTAACCTCACTAGAACCTCACCATATATATATATATATATATATATATATATATATATATATATATATATATATATGATTTACATTTTTGGAAAAAAAAATAATTCCCAACGAAAGAAACAACGAGAGAGAGGAAGAATTCAAGTCGTGCGTACCACACATCTCAGTAAAATCAATTCGCTACCTCCTAAGGGTGTTAGGAGCGTGTAGCGTCAATTTTTCAAGATAAAATGATCAGGGCCGTTCCAATAAAAATTGGGGTCTTGTGCAATATCTTAATTTGAAGCCCTTTTTTTCTAAGTAATTTTTATATATAAATAATAGTTGTTCAAAAAGTTGTATCAAAATATAAATATTGTATAAAAAATACATCTAAATTTTCATTTAAAAAGTAACATGCGCCGTGCACATTTAGACGCAAAATCATCTACCAAACTTTTGATATCAACTAATTTCAAAAGCCCATTTTCAATGGAGATTAAAGCTATTACATTGACTCTCTCTTGCAACATACTTGATAGTAAGTAAGATTTCAACAATTTCAACTTTGAAAAACTCATTTCTTAGAGGCAACAATAATTGGATAGTCAATAATATTCGATATGCAATAGTAGCATTTAGAAAACAACTCATCTATTTCAATGAATTCAATATACTCATTGCACATATATTTTCTTTCGATAAAATCTCTCTAAGCAATTTTAGCTCAATATACATTTCATTTTCATTAATATCACCACTGCATACTGTTCATTGAGATTTGGAAATATAATTGAATTAAAAAATAAAATTAATAGTAATTGTTAATTAGCATAACGTCCCAATCGAAAATGCTAATTGTTATTTGAGATTTTGAATTGGGAATTGCTAAAAACAGGGGAGGGAATCAAAGGATTAGAAAATATATATACATACATATATATTCTTTTTTTGGGTTTTAAAGTAATTGTCAATTGAGCTCAATTTCACCTATCACAAATTGGTTCAATCTCCCTGCACTTAGCCTAAAATCATATATACTATATATACATATATACTTTTTTTTTTTTTAAATATGGGGCCCCCAAAATTCGGGGGGCCCTATGCGGTCGCACATGTTAGACATGCTCAAAACCGGCCCTAAAAATGATTACAGTTATATAGTTGAACACTCATGCTATATTACTTTCGACGAAGTAGAACAAACGACGAGCACTTTTCTATTTTATAGAAGTGTTGACCGATTTTCATAAGAAAAAGATTTTGAGGGAAGAAGGGGAAAAACAAAAAAATGTTGAGGTTCTCAAATCAACTGCGAACAATTATGCCCCTCTTCCTGTGATGAGAACCTGCGAATTTGTACATAAATGAACATAAGTGTACATCTCCAATGCACAATGCACACTGCACACAATCTTCCCTAAAATAATTCGTGCACGTTTATGTAGACGATTGTGTGCATTTATGTTAGTTCGCATATTTTCACGATTGGAGGGTTTCTCATTTGATTATTTAGAGAAAATTGACTTATTCGCCCCTACATGAATTAATATTAGAGAAATTTACACTTTTCGTCCATAAGTTATAAGGTTATTGTAAGATTCGTCCATACTTGTTGGTCGTGATTACATCTCGTCCCTAAACTATAACTGACATTGCAAATTTTATCATTTTTTCTAACAAAACATTAGGGGACGAAATTTGCAATGTCAGTTATAACTTAGAAAAAAAATGAGCACGACCTATTAGAAAAATAACAAAATTTTCAAAATCTTTTATAACTTAAAGACGAGAAGTGAGCATAAACAACAAGTAGAGATAAATTTTACAATTATCTTATAAGTTAGTGACGAAATTAAAAATGTCAGTTTCCCTTAATAATATTATGAATGATATATTATGATTAAATAAATAAATTTTATTTATTTTCATTAAAAAAAAATGGGTACGTGAGAGTCAACTTGACTGATTATTTAGAACTACACAATTTTCTACAAAAATAATATTCTACAAAATTAATATTTCACAAATTTTTTTTTTTTAGAAAAACGCCTTAGTATTTAGTAACGCGGCACATATGAAAATTGATTTGAAGGGACGAAATTAGACCTACAACAAGACTTTGGCTAGTGATCGAATGGTGGAAAATTAGAACAGGTCATGAAATAAATTGGTGTGGAAACTGAAAATTTGATAGATATTATTTTTAAATATAATATTAATATATTTGAATATTAATATGGTTAACATCCACCTTATTATTATCAATTATCTGGACAGCTATTGAAAAAGTTCGACGCGTCGAGTTTCCTGATGCCCAATGATTATTTTTAAATAAGTACTTTAAAGTTACTGGAGTTGTTCATGCATAGATAATTGAATGTTGAATTTGCGTTTTTATAGGTAATTCTAAATTTACAAATGCAGCAAAATATAGTCAAAATTGATTATAATTGTTAATAAAATAATTGTATGGGAATGATTGAAACCAAATACGGGACATAAGGGAGAGCAAATAAAGATTATGACATAAGATATTAAATATATACTAATATAGTTTGAAGGAATTCTGGCAGAAGGTTGAGTTTGAGGGGTGCTGGCAATCTGACATTTTGCAGCGGCAATTTGTTTATACTAATAATAATATTATAGAAACATGATAGAAGATATACATTAAGCTTATTTGCTCTACGTACCACACATTAAATTGCATCTTTTATTAATTTTGTTCTTACTTGTGATTATTAATTACAATAATAAAAGTTGACTAAAAATACATTGACAAATTCAATGACTATGTCTTGTAAACATGAATAATACTTATTTGATGCAATGTTTTAATAATAATAATAATAATAATAATAATAATAATAGTAATAATAATAATAATAATAAACAACAACAACAACAAGAATAATAATGTTAAGTTTTATTCAATTATCATAACACTTGTATGATACTAATTTAACACTAACAAATACGTTGCAGACTTGCAGTATTGGCGAAATTTTATAATATTTTAGCATTTTGTTATACCATGTACCATGCCACGTTATTCTATTTTTTTTTTGAACTTAAGTTTATTTTGTTTTCAAAAAAAAAAAAAAAACAAAAAAAAAATTAAGTTTATTTTTAATTTTTCTTTTTTGTACAAATAAATTAATATATAAAAATATTGTTGGGTATTTGGTGAATAAATCGATACACTAAATATATATAAAATATATATTTATTCCAAAAATTAGAATTTAATTTGTAGAAAATTAATTCCAACCAATTTTGGTACAAAACCAAAATTACATAAATATACAACGTATATATATTAATCAACTAGGGATTTATTTTATCAAAAATAATCGCACCACAACTTGTACGGAACTAGTACAAGGGGTTTAATCCTTACGAGATTAATCTCTCCACTTGGTATGAAACCAAGAACAAAATAAAATAAGATCGAGACGGGTTTCTAACCTGTGGTTTTAACCTAACGAGAAAGAAGAGGAAGCAGAGGAAGCCCGAGTCGTGTGTACACACACTCTCCTTAAAACCGATTCGCCACCTCCCGAGGGTGCTAGGAGTATTATAGCGTCAGTCTCCCAGGATGAAACGGATTACAACTTTAGCGTTCGAGCACTCAAACCCAAAGTGTAACACCCCCGATTTTCAACAACTTTTAAAAGCAATTAAAGTTTATGAAAGAGGTAAAGTCTAATCATTAAGAATAAGCAAAGCGGAAGCTAACTACACAAATCCGGGAGATGTTATGCCACACCTACACAACATTAGGTGCACAGGCAAACACTAACTACTAAACAGTCTAACAGTTTAACTACTTAGGCTCACATGCCTCAACAACTAATAAAGGAAGAGATCTAATCTATCTACAGGACACTAGCGCGCTCTCCAAAGCTACTCAACCTGTAAAAGATAAGGGATAACACCCGGTCAGCGAATAATGCTGGTAACCCACCAATATGCGTTAAGTATCATAATATACATAGATATAATCAAAACCATTTGAAACTGGGAATACAGTATATATCATTTTAATGCCGAGAGAGGAAACATCAATAGACTCATCAATCACTCACAACAAAGGTCAAAGACCATCATACTCAACAAGACGATAGAACCACGAGCAAGAAGCTCAATAACAAGATACAACGTACGACACACAAAGAAGGATTCACAAAAGATATGCTCTTAAGCAAAGTGATGCAAGATTCACACCATAACGAGTTCCAAGTCCACATAGGACACAATCACACCAAGTCATATACTGTGGAGTCAGCACCACGGCTCGATTCATAGTGAATTAGTGTGGAGGGATCCAAATCATCAATCATGTATCACGTAGTCGTCGCAACGACCCGGGTCACATGCTAAAGTGTCATCGCAATGACAATGACCGCAGCCCAATGGAAGCAGAGCTAGCAACTTTAAGTGTATACACCCCCTATTGAGATTCCAAGCTCAACGGGTTAGCTACCATCTCTGGCAACTGGAATGAGTTTCCCATGTTGCCCACCAGCCTAAGTATCCAAATGGCAATCCAGAGCTTTAAACCCACTACCAGATCAATTCACACACAAGTCCCCACACTGTCCACTTTACCATCGCTCAATCATCTCATCACATCAATCCATCATCTCAACAAGAGTCCATACACACGGAATCTAGAGATACAACAACACATAGATTCCACACAAAGTGTGTACAACAAGGGATAAGCTCAACAATTGCTTAAACAATGAATAATAATACACACAGGATCACATCAAGGGATCCAAGCAAGGGGTTTCAATGAAG